CGGGCCCCCCCCCCGCCTCCGCTGCGGCCTAGCCCGGAGCCCGCGCCCCGGCCTCGCGGCTCCGCGCCGCCGGCCCTTCCTCGCCACCTGGGCCCGAGAGACCGCGCAGGAGCAAGCGTCCGGGAGGTGAGGGGCGGAGGCACCTACCAGCTGCTGCCGGACCCAGCGCCACATGCCCCCGCCGTTGCCGTCCCGGTCCCGCGGGACGCGGGGGCCGAGGGGCTGCAGGTGGAGGCCGAAGAGCCAGAGGGGGAAGCAGGAGAGCCCCTCCGGCTGAAGTTCCGCTCGCCGTCGCGGCCGCCTCACTCCCCGCGCCGGGGCCCCATCTCGCCGCGCCGGCCCCGAGGTCCTACAGGCGCGGTCCCGGCGCCGCCCCCGCCCGGCGCAGCTGAGTCCGCTGCCGCGCCGCAGCCACCTTCATTATTGACCGTTGTCACCCGCAGTACCGCCACAACCCCAACCCCGGCCCCACCCGGGCCAGCCCCCGGCGCCCCGGCCCGCCTCCGGACGTGACGAAATTGGCCGCGCGGACCGAGGCCCAGGCTCAGCCGCGTGGGTGGGGAAGTCGGCGAGCGTGGAAGGGGGCCGGGCTTCCGAACGCGGCGTCTGGGCTCTGCCCCTCCCCTCATTTCTGGGGTAGGATTTAGTCGCGTGGGTGTGTCTGTCTACCGAGTCTGCAGCTCCTGGCCGACTCCTCTATTCCTACCTCCTGTTGCGGGTCTGCTTTTGGTTCCCCGCCTTCTTTGGTTCCCCCAGCAGCCCGACACGCATACGCAAGATCAGGAGTGTAGTGACTGAAAGTTAATCCCCGGAGGTCTCCAGTTTCGGTTCAGTGAAATTGCCAAAGCCTTTGTCTCAACACGTAACGCAGCTCTCTTTAGCAAACGACTGAGCTGGGGCTAGGGAAATCTTGATCACTTCAGTAATTTTGAAAGGGGATGCAACTCCCCTGGACCTGGTCCGGTGCGGACTAGCGTTTCCGGGAGAATAGAAAGATACGCTGTCTTGCAGTGCTAAATTGAACAGGTTGGGGGAAAAATACTTTCTGTAGGAAGGTAGTTGTTTACTGTTAACTGCCGAACTCCTGCAGTCAAAAACACCTCATCAGTAACAAGACGTAGATAAGAGAAGGGTGTGGAAAAACAGAGGTAAGAAGGAATATAAAAACAACTGGAATAAAACTTTGACTTGGAAGGCTGAAATGAAGTGCCGGGTCTCGGTTTATTCAAAAGCAAGCCCATATACATCTTGAGTGTTATGTATGTGTATTGTGTGCAGTATTTTGCTGAATTAAAGCACATTTCACCATTCGACACACAAGAGTTAAAGAATTGTTTTTATTAAGCGAAAACAGAAATCTAAATGAGATTAGTAAAACTAGGCAAGTGTTTTTGCATATATAAACACACAGTCTTTTAGTTTCAGTAGACATTCCTTATTATATAATGACTATCCAGCACCACAAATAGAGCCTTTCCTTAGGAGTATTTATGATCTGTAAAACCAGAAGTGTAATTTTACATTATATATAAATCCAACTATAAAAATCAGCTAGATATCTAAAGAGAAAAAGTAATCTCACTTTTGTTCTTCTAACTGAACTTTGCTTTATGACCCTAAAAGGAAGTTTGAGATATATTTACTTATCTGTAATAGGGATAAAACATTACTACCATTCATGGAGCACTTGTGTGTCCCAGGCCCTGTAATAAACTCTTTACTTTCATGGTCTAATTTAACCCCATCAGTCCTTTGAAGTTGATACTACTGAAGTTGATACAATATTATTCCCATTGTGCGGATGCAGACATGGAGGCACAGGTTAAGTAACGTGCTCAGGTTAAGTAACTTGGCAGAGCTGGGATTCAGATTCTGGATGGTCAGGCAACAAAAGCTCATGCTCTTAAGCTATTGTAAAGAAAAATATGAACATACCTATTTTTATTCATTTTATTCAGCAAGTGGTCTGAATAAAATTAGGCCAGCAAATTTTTATTTATATGCCACTAAAGTTTGTCAAGACAAGATAAGAAATAGAAATCTAGAGGACATTTTGTGCGTTGTTACTTAACTGTGTCCCAATTTTCAAAAGGTGGAAGTGGGAGGAGTTGATTCTAAACGCCATGGTGAAATATGGTAAGACGTTATCTCAAGATAGCTGTGTAAAGATAATAATTGTAGCTCAAACTGTCAGTAACAGAATGAGTACTCATGACAGTGTTTTGGTCTAAGCATTTTTCAGGAGCAATATTCTACACCTCATATTAATCTAAGAAGCATAAAATAGAGTATTTTTATACTGTAGATTATAACTCTTTAGGGGTGATTAAATCAATTTAGTGTGTCATGAGCTGTCATGATCAGTATCTTTAAAAAACAGAATATAAAACATCGGAATATATTGCTTAGTGTAAATAATATGTATTGTTTTGTGAAACTTGTTTCAGGTGTGTATGTGTGTGTGTGTGTGCACACACACATCAGATCACAATATAAAAAGAATGTCTTCCTATTGGTTGTGGTTGGAAAAGTTTGAAAACATTGAAATCAGAGTATACAGGACTTAAGGCAAGCACCAGCTGTAAAGGAAAGAAAGAAAATATATTTGCAGTCAATGGTAGTTCATTCATTCCACAGCTATTTCTTCAATGTACTGAACACCAAATGTATGCATAACAACGGCCTAAAATTAGGAGGTGACACAAGTGCAACTTTTAAGGTGAGCCCTTCTCTCTGGGGAGAGTTTACAATCTTGTTGGAAACAGAAGTTGCAGAGAGGAATCAGTTAAATAACAGTCCAAGGCAGTATGAGATTAAGTTCTAAACTATACCAATAATAGTCATTAATTTCAGAAAACTGATGTGGGCAATAGCAGTTGAGGAGGGTTCAGAAGAAAGGAGGTGAATTTGAGCTGAACTTGAAATGGGAGGATGAAGGTGGGAGGGAAAGGCTTTCCAGCAGGAAGGAATGCGAAAAGCTAAAGATGTTTGAGGTACAACTAATTTGGAGTAATAAGAGGTGGGGTTGGGTGAATAAGGGAAGGTGTAGTGTTAGGAGAGTTTCCGGTTAGTCACGGGAGTTTACCGGAAATTGGGCAATCACTGGAATTTTCTGAACAATGAAATGACAGGTTGAAATCAGAGTGTTAGTCCATAGACATTATACGTGATAGGGTGAAGAGAGAAGAAAGGTCAGATAGGAAATTATTGCTAGAGTGAACCTTCCAGTTCAAAAGTGCTGGACTGGCAAAGAGGCAGAAGTAAAGCACGTTGTAGGAAGTTGTGCTCTGGTGACAGACAAGGAAATCTGAAACTTAAGCCATTTCAAGTGAGGTGACAGACCTTCCAAGAGAATAATAGCATCACACAACAGCCACTGATTTAATGGTAAGTATGGTTCTTTCTCTTGAGGAAACTTGTTAATATAATTCTGTGCTAAATATACCTGTGAGATGTGTTTGTTCCCAGGGGGTAAAAAATCTCCTGGTTTGCTGTAATAGGGATTCTTAGGTATAACAAAGACAAAGAGGGATATTTTTCTTGATCAGAACATCTTGAACCATCAATAGGAAGCACAGACTGTGAGCTGGTTAAGGTCACAATTCCTGGCTCATTCATTTTGGAGCCCACAATGTCTAAAAGGTACTCAACAGATGTTTGTTAAATGAATTAATAAATTAATTCCAATAACTGAGTAGTTAGGGAAAAAATATTTAGTTCCGGATTATCAAAGTGATATAAAGCAAAGTATACTGAATGATTTCAGTAGATCCTAAGCTATGCAGTAAGACCACTGGTCACCATCCTTTAGACTCAGGACACTCTTGTTTGCCTCTCAGAACTCTTCAAGGTTCAGTCTGGTTGGAGGACAGTAAGCCTTGCCAATCTGTTGCCTTAATTATTTCTACATTGATGGAGCCATCAGGTGGGTCCTAGAATCTGCTCTCATTTTTAAAAGGGCAGCTTTCTACTTTCTCAAAATCATAAAATCTAGTTTAAATCTAGTTGTAAATTATTATGCTTACAAAGCAGTTTCCTTCTGGTTAACTATCATTCCAGAATTTCCAGACCAGACTTTAGGCAAAGAAAAAACAGACTTCAGGCAAGCTTTTTCCAGTGCTGACCAGGATTATATATTTTATCACCTCGTAAAGAAATTCATCAGGAACAATGTCATATTACATATTTTCAACTTTTCTTGAAATTTTCTCAAACAGATGTCAGTTGTGGACTAAGTTATATGAACACAGTTTTAATTTCTGGCTATTTATGCTTATACAGAACCGAAACTCAAAGCCACTGTGAGAGTTAGGATCCATAAAAAGTCAAAGTATGTAAAGCATACATATGTTCTGAACTGTACACTTAAAAATGGTTAAGATGATAAATTTTATATGTGTATTTTACCACAACAAAAAAAATGGGAAAGAAAGACTGCATGGGGAGGCGTTTGTTAACAGCTACTTTATAGATTTTTCTAGGCTAAACCATCACAGTTGTGTTCAATGGCAAAATCTTGGCATTTGCCCTTTTATCTATATTAGAATAGATCCAAAATTCTTTTCTGAGGAAAATCTTGACTTAGCCCACAAATATTTCCTTAGCTCCCATCTGTTTCCTTAACTTTTATGAAACCACGTTAACTCCATCCCCATTTCTGCTGAGTCCTAATGGATGTGAGTATGCCCTAACTTGCCAACACGCCTTTCTGATTTGCAGATTTATCAGAAATTCTCAACTGGGAGAAGAAATGTTAATGGAGGATTTCCTGAGGACTATGTACTGTCTTCTGGTGATGTCAATTTTATTTTTAGATTAAAGAAAAATGATCAGGAATCTGTCTTTAGATAGTCTTGTTTTGGCTCCTGCTGTGGTTACTTGTACTGAACTGCAGTTTAGGATCATATGAACAGCATAAGTCTAGAGACGGTAGGAGAAGCAGCCTCAGGAACCCCACGACTGCTTTTGCTGTGGAGGTGCAACTGGGAACACCGCTCACTCATCACATTGTGTTCTCTTGACGAGAGCCTGCAGAAATTCATTACCACAAATGACTCTGCTTCTCTTGAGCAACTACTTTGTTTCATAAGCTTGTGAGCATTATGTAATTGAATGTGCTTCCTTCTGTCCTCGTGCTGGTACTTAAAAAATTCAGAGGCTTATTTATGGCAAATGCCCAGACTCTACAGTGTACACTTTGTGAATTACTCTTACCCTGACTTTTCATTTTGTCTACTTTTAGTTTCCCTTTGGCTGGTTACTCCACCTCCTTTATATCTTATTATACTTTGTGTATTTTGTTAAGCCACCTTCAATCTTTTCTGAATAGAGGAATAAAGGAAAACATAAGACACTCATTCAATTTATGAGTCATAAAGATTAGTTTTAAGATAACGATGAGCTCCAGATAATCTAATCAGAAGATT